CCGGCGAGGAGCACGTAGCTGGCGCGCAGGTCGAGCGCGGGCGCGAGGAGCAGCGCCGTGGCGGAGGCGGCGGCGTTGATCTCCCCCTCGCCGACGGTGGCGTGGCAGATGCTCGTGTCGGCGGTGCAGAGAACGGAGGGGAACAGCACGGAGAGGCCCGGCAGCGGCAGGGAGATGGCGGAGAGGTTGCCGAGGCCGGAGAGCGGGAAGTGCGTGTGCCAGGCGGAGGCTTCGGGGGCGAACTGCGGAGGAAAAGTGAGTGGGTGGAGATGGAGGAGGGGATTGGGAGGAGGAAAGACAAACCATGGAGATGATGAGGACTTTGGGAGCGATGACGGTGGCTGTGGCTGTGACGGTGGACGTCAGGGCCATGGCCATGGTGAGATGTGTTGAGATGTGCATGGTGAGGATTGTCTGGATGTAAGATTGTGAATTTAACGAAGTCAGAATTGATGGACTACTGTATCATTTATATACAGAAGCACTGGTCCCCCCTTCATAGACTATAAATGTTGTATTTTATTCTCGCTTGATCTATGCCCCATCGTTGCGGGATGTCGTGAGCGCCTCGGTTGTTGTCATCGCCTCGCCTGTGGCACCCTTCTCCGCCACAGAAGCTTCCTAATCGAGAAGACGGGCCCGAAGAACAAGAATCGTTTCTTCGGAAGCATCGGCGCATGGTAGGACCACAAGCTGAAGCCAGTGCACGCTTTCCCCCGGGGCGGGAGACAAGATCGCTTGAGGAAGCACGCGGCGGCGTACAGGTCGCCGACGGTCTGGTCCTGACTGCTCGGTGACACGCGTCTCTAGCAACCATGGCTGAAAGAGAACCAGTCTCGCGGGTCAAGGTGACACTGCTGAACGGAGGTGGTACGGACGGGCCAAGGGGGGGCATGCATGTGTAACGCTTCGTGTGTGCCGTCTGTCGCTTCTACACTGCGGGCATGGCTAATACTGAAACAGATGCGTGCAAAGGGCTTTTTCTGTTTTATGAAACCATGGGCTCGTGGCGGACGGGCGCGATGCGATAACGGCTCGCAGAACGAAGTGCTCGTCATGGCGACTACCTGATGAGAACAATGTCCCTGCTATGGAATACTGCGTAAAAGGTTCAGGTGTTTTATGGAAGAAGAAGGGCCCCTTGGATGAACCCTGGGTCACACCTCGCGTCGGAAACCATCTAGCCTGAGCTCGCCGCCGAGCACCATTGTTGCACGGGAGTGGTGCAAGCGCCTGTAGTTGACCTCGGTGAATACGTGGCTGTTACGTGAACTCGAGAGATGCATCTGAGAAGGGCTTTTATACAATTTAAAAGTCGCTATTTCCGAGTAGAAGTTATCGCTAGGCGGGACAAGGCAGTTGATGGAGGCTGACGCCACGGGATGCCGACGAGGTCGACCGGCCTCGGCCAGCAGCGAGTGACGATTACGGCAGCGCAATGTATTTGTAACCGGTCATCAGCTCACCCGGTTTGCTGGATCGTGCACCGGACCTTCTGTGATGCACTTGGGGCTCCCGCTCTTGTGCTACTCGTCGTCCTGCTCCGTACGTGCGAGCGGGTTACGACCGGATGGATGACCTGGGATCATGGCGTAAAAACACACCGAGAAAAGATTGGTCTAGAAGCAACGCTTGAAATATATGCCCGTTTGGGGGAACCATTCAGGGATATCGTTTCCACTTTGATATTGATTAATAAAGCGGACGATGCATGTAGGGCTACGGACGGGGGTTCATGCCACGTTTTACGGATCTCAGATATATCAGAGGTTGTAGTAATAGGAGGGAGCAAACAATGCGGGCATTGCTGACCGAGGCGGAGGCAAACTTTACGCGTAAATCTGTACTTTGGACATAATTCGTGCGAGATCCGATAGTATCGTAAGCTGACAAGGCTGGGTTTGAGATGTGCAACATGAGCTAGATGCATCACATACATGTTAGAGTTGAGACTAGGGTGGCGTTACTAAACATAAACTGCGAAACAATTTCAGTAGTGAGATGAAGAGCACGTTTGGTGGCGGGGGACATGACAGGGCTCGGGCTAGACTTGGGTGGCTCGGCAAATGTCTACAGGCGGCGCCAAGAATTGCGATAGGCCGTTTGATGGAAAGCGAACAAGGAAGGGGACAAGCGTCGAATCCACAAAGGTTGCCTTGAAGGTGGGAATGGACCTGGGATGCGCAAGATTTTAGGTTGAGCGGAATGTGTACACCTTGGTCATGGCCATGCATGATGGATGCTTTGGGTGGGTGGGGTGTGATGAGACGGCGACGCAGGGCTGCAGTTGGAATTGGACAACAAGAAGAGACGCATCTTGGAGGATGGGCTGGACGACGGATCGAGAGGGCGATGTCAATGGTGATGCAAGGCAGCGGCAAGGATGAGAGGAGATACGGCGAGGCCGGCTGAGGTGGAGCCGGCCACGTAACCAGCGGCGTTGTTAGAGGCTTGGCAACGGAGGAGAGGAAATGGATGGCACGTTTTGTACGTTTTGTAGTAGTGATGGGAGGACAAGATGATACTCGGTAATACATAGGTTGTCGGGTTGAGTTGGTTGTTGGTACACTAATACGATACTCTTGGTATAAGAGTTCACGAGATACATAGATACATGAGATACATGAGAGACAATCACTAGTTCATACTCATCTTATTGGCAAGCCAGCAGTCAACCTTTTGATTGTTTATTAATTGCGACCATGTTCATCAACATGATCCAAACCACCAGCCCCTGCTCGCCAAGCCGCGCCCCAGAGTCTAGGTCGGTGGAAGCTGAGTCGTTCGTTGATGAAGAGAGTCACAATGTCACCATGTCCACTCATCAACAGCGCTAGACGCCCGATGAGGCTTGATTGAATGCATGGTAATAGCTTGTCAGAAGGAAGTTGTCAGTTTGTCCCAGCCCAGGAATTGTCTGAAAGCAATCCTCAGAGCCTTGTTGGTACAAGTACGGAGTACTGGCTGTGTTTATTAGCGGCGCACTTGGTGGATTTACATAATAATTAAGGTGCTCAGTTAACTGGACGTTGGCGCTTCGAGGCCTTCGCAGTGGCGCTTACAGGGCTTACAGGGCTTACAGGGCTTACAGGGCTTGCAGGGCCGCCCAAAGCCTTGTCTCCAGGGGGTCCCACCACTGTAAATTTCCCTATCCCCGCCAAAAATTGGCTGGTCTTGGCAGGTTGACTTTGAAGTTGGGCCTCCTCCTCGTCTGCTTCACCAGCCTTCCTTTTCCCGCTCTCACGCATTCCTTCTTCCTTCCTCCTCTCGCTTCCTCCATTCGCTCTTTGCTGCTGCTCCATCTGTGCATCGAACCGCCAGATGCAGCACCGGACGCGCCATCGTTGTCATCGCCATGGACCAAATCACCCCGGTCCCGGGCCGGGTCTCTCCCCATGAGCAACTCGCTGCTGATGCTGGTGGTGCGCCCAACAATGCTGACCCGGCCGCCGCCGCGCCTTCGTTTGACGACATCTCCCGCGACATTCTCGACACCGAGTCCTCCGCCCCCGACGCCGACGGCAGCAGCGGGCCCTTTGCCTTTTCCACGACGCAGCTCTACAAGCTCCTGACGTACCGCAGCCTCGCCGCCCTCGACGTCTTTGGCGGGCTGTACGGGCTCGCCGGCGGCCTGCGCGCCAACATTGCGACCGGCCTCAGCGCCGACGAGACCACCCTCCCCGGCCGCATCACGTTTGACGAGGCCGTCGCCGCTGCCAGGGACCAGCGCGACCCCGTCATCGAAAACACGCGCCCGCCCCGGTCCACGCCCACCGGCCTGACGCTCCGACTCGGCGACGAGCCCGACACCCAGTTCCTCGACCGCCGCCGCGTCTACGGCGCCAACCGCCTGCCCCGACGACCGCAAAAGTCCTTTCTCCGCCTCATGTGGATCGCCTTCAACGACAAGCTGCTCATCCTGCTGACCATTTCCGCCTGCATCTCGCTCGCCATTGGCATCTACCAGTCGGTCGACGCCAAGAGCAAGAATGCCAACATTGAGTGGGTGGACGGCGTGACCGTCGTCATTGCCATTCTCGTCATCATCTTTGCCAGCGCCGCCACCGACTGGCAAAAGAACTACAAGTTTGAGAAGCTCAACGAGCGCAAGTCGCAGCGCGATGTGGCCGTCATGCGCTGCGGTAGGATCCAGCACGTTTCCGTATACGACGTCATGGTTGGCGATGTCATGCACATTGAGGCCGGCGAGGTCCTGGCCGCCGACGGAATCCTCATTCGCGCCGCAGGCCTGCACGTGGATGAGTCCTCCGTCTCGGGCGAGGCCGGCCTCGTGCACAAGACGCTGGCCAACGATCACGATCCCACCCACACCACCCTCGCCGACCCTTTCCTCTTTAGCGGCACGACCATCTGCCGCGGCGTCGGCCAATACCTCGTCACAGCCGTCGGCGCCAACTCGACCTACGGAAGAACCCTCATTTCGCTGCGCGAAGACGTGGAAGAGACTCCTCTGCAAGCCAAGCTCGGCCGGCTGGGAAAGCAGCTCATCCTGTTTGGTGCCGGCGCTGGCACCGTCTTTTTCCTCATCCTCTTCGTTCGCTTCATGATCAACCTGGACGACCTCAAAGGCATCGGCCCGTCCGAAAAGGCCGAGAGATTCTTTGGCATCCTGATTCTCGCCATTACCGTCGTCATCATCACCGTGCCCGAAGGTCTCGCCCTCAACGTCACGATTGCCCTCGCTTTTGCTACTAAGCGCATGCTCAAGGATAATAATCTTGTTCGCCTCATTCGATCCTGCGAAATTATGGGCAACGCTACCACCGTTTGCTCCGACAAGACCGGCACATTGACGCAGAACAAAATGACAGTGGTCGCTGGCCGCATCGGTCTCGACTGCACCTTTGACGATACCGAGACGGTCGACTTAGCCAACAGTAATGGTGCCCCCGCCACGGTTGTCGTCAGGGGCGAAACTTCTAGCTACGCAACCTCGCACCTATCAGCAGAGCTGCGCGATCTTTTAAAGGACAGTATCGCTTTGAACTCGACCGCTTTTGAGACGCATGATAGCTCCAAGCCCAGCTACGTTGGATCCAGCACCGAAACGGCGCTACTGAAGTTCTCTCGCGATCATTTAGGATTGGGCCCGCTACGTGAAGACCGTGCTAACTCGCCTGTGCTGACCATGTTTCCCTTTGACTCGACCAGGAAGTGGATGGCTGTTCTCATCAAGTTACCCAATGGACGATATCGATTGCTGATCAAAGGCGCTGCTGAAGTCGTCTTTGAGTACTGTGCTTATACAATTTCTGACGCTGAATTTCGCATTACCACCGACCGCCTGAGCGAGGAGAACCGCACCAGCATCCGTGACTCTATCCAGGAGTATGCCGGACAGATGCTGCGACCTGTTGGGCTTGCCTTTCGTGACTTTGAGGCGTCAGAGGTGTTTGAAAATCCAGACGATGATCCGGCCGCGGTCAACCTGGAATGGTTTGCCTCGGGCCTGATCCATCTTGGCGTATTTGGCATCAGAGATCCGCTCCGGCCAGAAGTTGTCGACTCTGTCAAGAAATGCCAAGACGCTGGTGTCTTTGTTCGCATGATTACCGGTGACAACTTTACGACGGCTAAAGCTGTCGCGACGGAATGCGGCATCTACACATCTGGTGGAATCGCCATGGACGGACCGACATTTCGAAGACTATCCCCTGAACAGCTCGACAGCGTGATCCCCCGACTTCAGGTTCTCGCACGATCTAGCCCCGAGGATAAGCTACTGCTCGTATCGCGCTTGCGTGGTATGAATGAAACCGTCGCAGTTACTGGAGACGGTACCAACGACGCCCTAGCATTAAAGGCGGCTGATGTAGGCTTCGCAATGGGTATACAGGGCACCGAGGTCGCAAAGGAGGCAGCCTCCATTATTCTGCTCGACGACAACTTTGCCTCCATTGTCAAGGCCCTGAGCTGGGGACGTACCGTCAACGACGCTGTCAAGAAGTTTTGCCAGTTTCAGTTCACAATCAACATCACTGCTGGCATCATCACAGTCGTATCGGAGCTAGTTGGAGACTCCATCTTTTCCGTCGTCCAGCTCCTCTGGATCAACCTCATCATGGACATTTTCGCATCTCTCGGCCTAGCCACTGACCACCCCTCACCTGACTTCTTGAAGCGAAAGCCCGAGCCACGCAACGCCCCGATTGTCACCATTACCATGTGGAAAATGATTCTCGGCCAGTCCATCTACCAGCTCCTTATCGTCTTCTTGGTACATTACATTGGATGGGATTTGTTCAACCCCGGCACAAAGAACGAGGTTGAGAAACTGCAGACCCTAGTCTTCAATATTTACGTCTGGATGCAATTTTTTAACCAGCACAACTGCCGACGCGTCGACAATAAGCTCGACATCTGGTACCAAGGCGTCCTGCGCAACCCTTGGTTCATTGGCGTCCAATGCCTCACCTTGGCCGGCCAGTTCATCATCATCTTTAAAGGCGGCGAAGCCTTTGACACGGCACCCCTTACCGGGGCGCAATGGGGCTGGAGCATGCTCTTTGGCATTCTCACCATTCCGCTCGGTGCCCTGATCCGTCAGGTGCCTGACCGATGGGTGTTGCAATTCTTCCTGGCCATCAAGGCAATATTTCTCAAGGTTACCGGCCCCGTCCGCCGCCGCCTGCCACGCCTGCACAGGAAGAAACAGCAAGCCGAGGCGGAGCAAGCAAAGTTCCACCCCGCGCCCCTCAACGCGGTGGAGGAGATGGTGTCTCGCCACGGCCGCCAACTTCTGCAGCAGCTCAAGGGCGAGGGCAAGGACCTCGAGATGACGGCCGAGCAGCGCCACGCACTCGACGTGGCGGCGCAGCGCGCCCGCGACGACGCCGACGCCGCCGCCGAGCAGGACAAGCCCGAGCGCGAGGTCGACCTGCTCGGCCTGATTGAAGCCGCCAAGGTCGGCCGCATGGTCGACCGCGACGTGCTCGAGATTCACCCCCGCACGCCCAAGGAGGACCCCATCCTCAACACCTGGATCAACCTGCGCGTGCCCCCCAGCCAGGACGAGAATCTCCTGCGCTATATGAATGCCGGCAAGGAGGAGGACACGACGCGCCGCCCCCGCAACAGGGTCCCCGCGCGATACACGTGGGTCGAGCCGACGAGGCCGCAGCTGACGCACACTCGACCGAGAGCGCGCAATGGCTTCACGTGGGAGTCGTTTCTCCGCTCCAAGCGAAGATAGTAGCTCGCTGCCTGAGACACTCTTTACTTGATCCAACGCATTTTTATTTTTATCTTTGCATCATTGCATTTGTTCATTTTAGGAGGTGGTCTTGATATTTCATTGGGACAAGGCAAGCATATCTGGACGGAATCTGGAATATTGGAAAAAGGAGAGGTGCAGAATACAAGGCATATCTGCGTGTTGAAGACGGCTTCATCTTTTCCCTAAATCTTTGCTTCTTTTCTTGGTTGGTTTCTTGGGGTTTCATTTTGGCATGCCTGTTTTATTTATTTAACGTTTGGTGCTTCTATGGTTGCGCCCGGGCATCTTGACGACGTATGACACTACACCTACACTGCGGTACATATAGACTCTTATCCTCAACAACATACTTATTCCTATACCACACATAATGACGACTTTTTTTTTTGGTCTGGTTACAAACACGCACAGGTGAAGATGATTTGAAGCGAACAAGAATGAATTCAGGCAGCTATATATAAAGAAGAAAGAGAAACCTCAAAAGTCCGATGCGAAAAGGAATCCGACGCTCATTAATCATCCTGGTTCTGCCGCACCAACCGCCGAAACGCGTCCCCGCTGAACCACAGGTCCTCAAACGCGCCCTGCTCGACGACACGACCGTCCTCCACCACCACCACCACGTCGGCCACGCGCATCATTTCCACATTATGTGTCGCCACCACGACCGCCGCCGACCTCCTCTCGGCGCGCCACCGCGCGACCAGTGCCACCACACACGCGCCGACAGCCGCCGTGCTATCCGGGTCCAGCGCGCTCGTCGGCTCATCCATGACGAGCAGCGCGGGGTGGCGGACGAGCGCGCGCGCCACCGTGACGCGCTGCGCCTGCCCGCCGGAGAGCGTGATGCCGCTGTCCCCGACGAGGGTGTCGTAGCTGGCGGGGAGGGACTGGATGAAGTCGTCGATGCCGGCGTCGCGCGCGGCGGCGCGAATCTTGGCGCGGTGCCGTAGCGGCGACTGCGCGGGCAGCCCATAGGCAATGTTGTCGGCGATGCTCCCAGGGAAGAGAAACGGGGTTTGGGGCACGTACCCGATGGCGGCGCGGAGCTGGCGCGGGTCGAGGGCGGTGCTTGGTGTGTCGGCGTAGCAGAGTGAGGAAGCGGGTGAGGTTGGGCGGTGCAGGCCGAGTAGGAGACTGAGGAGGGTGGATTTGCCGCCACCGGATGCACCGACGAGCACAGTGCACCGGCCGGGGGAGATGTCGAGCGTGACACCGGCGAGCGTGGGGTCGGCGGCGCGGCCCGGATATGCAAAGGATAGGTCACGCATGCAGACGGGCAGCACTGCAGGGATGCCCCCGTGGACGTCGCAGGAGTCGGAGGGGAGCTCGCCGTCGGGCAGCTGCGTGTAGGCGAGGACGCGGGCGGCGGCGGCTGTCGTCACGGTGATTTGTGGCATGGTGCTGAGCAGCTCGGTGGCGGTGCCGAAGCTGAACAAGAGCAGGTTGAGGACTTGCAAGACGGCGTCGACGTCCACGCCGCCACCGCCGCTGTGACCTGTCAGGAGCCGCGTCCCGTAGTAAAAAGCGAGCGATGTGAGCGCGTAGCTAAAGGCCTGGTAGAGGCCAAAGAGTGGGCAAGTGCGGAGTGCGCGGCGGGCGCCGAGACTGAGGCACCGAAAGGCTGCTTGGGCAAACTGTGCAGCAAAGTGGTCTTGGAGGCCGCAGTTGGCGACGGTGCGACCTGCAGCAAGCACCTCGGCGAGCCCTTGCCCGGCCTGCTCGGCGGCGTCGGCGCAGCGTGCCTCCCACGCCTTGCTGGTCCGCGTATACGCCTGGAGCACGACGACGACGAGCGGCAGCGGCGCGAGCGCCACCAAGCTGAGATCCCAGCGGACGGCGAGCGCCCACACGACCGAGGCGGTAATCATGGTGGCGACAGCAATGATGTTGGGTAGGAAACGGCCGACGAGGTTGCGCATCTCCTCAGCATGCACGTTGAACGTCTCGGTAATGCACGCTTGGGAGTTGGTGTCGGCGTTGTCGGTGAACCACGATTTGGGCTGGCGGAGGATGCGCTGGAGGGCGGAGCGCCGGATCGAGTCAACCCATGATTGGGCCGACGACTCGAGGAGGTAGCGGCCGAGACCGGTGCAGACGCCGTCGACGACGGCGATAATGAAGAGGTATAACGCCCACTGTCGTCCCTCAGCGTGCTTGTCGCCCGCAGACCACATGACGGCGAGTAGCTTGGCCAAACAAAAGGAAAAGGCGGGCGTGGTGAGCGCGCCAATCATGGTTGCGCCGACGCCGAGGACAAGGTAGGCCGTGCGGAGCCCGTCGAGCGCCGGCATGATGGTGCTCAGGATGCTGGCAAAGGACATTTCCTTCGCGTGTCTACGCTTCCAGCCCACATCAACTATACTCCGCCTCTTCTTCTCCTTTTTCTTGGGGGACTGTGATGCCTCGCTGGCGTTAGACATGGTGTCCAAATCTCGTCTGGAGCTCGAACACGGCGGCTGGAGGGAGGTGGTATCTGGGCCGGGCGAGGACATGGGTCGGCCCTGTTTGCTGGTGATGAGTGAAGAGAGTCGGGGCGTGGCAGCAGGTGACCCCATATTGACCGACCGCACGGACAGCACAGATAGTCGCGGTGAAAGAAGAGAGGTGACACGGCGCGAAGGGCTGCTATGTCGGAAAGAGTTGGTACCGCTCGTGAACCACGCGTGATTGTACATTGTTGGGGGGCGGTGCCCGCGGGGAGGTTTCGCGGCTGCGGCATAGGGTGGGATGATGTCCATGTTGATATGTGCCGAGCTCTCCTCGGCAGCCTCGTCCAGCGAGGCTGTGGAGAAGATGCCCATGTCTGCGCTCTCCAGGTTTCGTTTGAATCCGCTCCTCACCACAATTCCCTTTTCCAGCACATACATGAAGTCACTGTGGCGAATGCTGTCAATGTCATGCGAGATAATGACGGTTGTCTTGCGCCGTCTCCACTCTCTGATCTCATTCATAATCATCTCTCTGCTGTTCGGGTCCAGTGCCGACGTGGGCTCGTCCAGAAACAGCACCGCGGGGTCTCTGAGGTATGCCCGGGCGAGCGCAACCCTTTGTCGCTGACCGCCGCTCAGAGGGCAGCCTTCGCCGCCAACGACTGTATGTATCCCGGCGCTTAGAGTCGCAATGGCGGACTCGAGGCCAAACTTGTAGCATGCTTGCAAAACTTCTTGATGAGTGGCCGAGGCTGGATCGGGATGTCCAAACACAACGTTTTGGAATAGCGTATCTTTGAAAATGACAGGCGTTTGATCGACAAGCATAACGTGGCGTTGCATCCATTTCTTGTCAAGCTTATTGATCGGGACACCGTCCATGAATATGCTCCCACTGGTCGTGTCGTAGGTCCTCGAGGCAAGGCTAGCAACGGTACTCTTTCCAGATCCACTGCGGCCAACGAGGAAAGTGAGTTCCCCTGCCGGGATAGAGATTGTGCATTTATCGAGGCATTTGACCGTTGGTGCCGTCGGGTATGCAAAGCTGACCTATTATAGTATCAGCAAGGTCTCTATATTGTCATATGTGTGCAAGATTACCTCTTCCATATCAATCGCGCCAACAAAATAGCCAGGTCGCACAGTGTTGGGGTCATCCTCAGAGGCCTCTGCAACTTCAACTTTCAAGGCCTGTAGTACTTGGCCGGCGCTCATGCCTCTCTGAAACACAAGCCAGTTTGGTAACATCGACTCAACGCCTTGCAGTGTTGTCAACACAGCATAGAATGTTGTGAGAATGTTTCCCGGGCGTTCTCCCTGCTGCACCAGAACTAGGCCGTACCAAAATCCAACAACAAACATAGCCACAGCCCAGAAGGTACTGTATCCGATTTGTATCGAGTTGTTCAAAGCCTGAATTCGATAGTGCTTGGCAGCGCGGTCGGTGTGCGCGATATAATTCTGTACCTCGGAAGCGTAGCCGTTGCACATCTTGACAATGTCAATTCCCCCCAGGGCACCGGCGAGCATGGTCGAGGCCGAGTCTAGGTGTAAGGTTTGTTCTACTATTGCTGGCGGAATCTTTCGGTTCGTCAATGCCAGAACGACGATGGACGGTGGCACTGTAGCGAGGAGGACCAGAGTCAGCTTCCATGAGGACTGCAGGGCAATGGCTAGCGAAGCAAATGCCGTGAGGATATCTGCCACAAGATAGCCAAAGACTTGAGAAGTGGCCATTTGAAGTTCGTGCGTTTTCCTGAAATGTTCTTAGTATTTGCCGTGTAGAATACCGGGAGCCAGCTTAGCCTACCTTTGGATGGAGGCAACCAAGCCAGTCGTGCCATGTGGGAGTGAGTCGATCCAGGCACGTTCCATCTTCATCAGTCCCGTGAAGAGGGCGTTGCGGACGCTTTTTGCCTGTAGCTCTCCAAACATGAGCCACAACCCCAAAAATGCAGAGTTGATGGTCCATTGCGCAGCACCCATGCCGACGAGCACAAGGCAATATCGCGACACAAGCGGCAAGGCTCGTGATTCCGCAACGCCGCCACCTCCCGCCGCAGCGACGATATCAAATATTTTTCCCAGAACAACGGTTAGGGAGGTTCGAAGGGCTGCTGCTCCAGCAGAGGAAAGGACCGCAGCACTGAGATAGTACAGGTGTTGCCTGGTGGTGAAGGCGAAGAGATGTCTCCATTTCGGTGGCTCGTTGAGAAGGACAGTGACGGATGTAGGCCCATCAGTCGGATCTGTATCGCTCTCATTCTTCTTCATCTTACATATCAATCAATGCTGGACATCGTCATGGTATGGAAGTTGCGTTGGGGTGGTATGAACTAAAATGCCCAAGTCAGTCTCAACCAGCGGGAACGGCGGGCACAGCCGCCGCCAGCACTCGCATACTTCATGGCGGGCATAGTTCAGATGGTCTGTCTCATACTCCCATGCGGCTTAGTCTCGTGAGAAGCAACGAATGCACCCGAGAGTCGGGTAGCCGGGAATGGCTACAGTTGTTTGTCTGAATGGCGGCCGCTTCCTATTGTAGTGCGCTCGGACCACCCAACGGCCTGCAGGTAAACGCACGCCGGCCTTCGCATGGTAAAATGGTTTCACTTTATTTCTTGCAGGGATGTACCTATTGAGAAGGAAGAGTGAATAGTTTGTCTCATTATCAGCAATGGTTCATGGGAATGTCCGTTGTTCGGCAGGCAGCATGGTTCCAAACGAGCGACAACATGGCGCCTGGGTACTTCCCGACAGCGAAGTAGGGTGTTCAAAATGAAATAATCATTCTTATAGGTACGCTAGCGGCGAGGGGTAACGGAAAAGCCTGCTTTTTGGGGAATTGGTTCCGTTTGTGGCGTTTCATGATCGATATTCACCGGGGTTCCGTACGTGGCCAACTTGCGCCACCACCCACAGACCCGAAGTGTACTTTAGCAAGTTGCCATAAAAACAGACAGGAGAATTCGGTGTATATGACAGAGATAGGAAGTTGCAAGATAAAAAAATTTGGAGCAAGAGTGCCCAATAATGCATTGGGCGCTGTTGGAGCTGGACAGGAAAAAGGGCCGCAGCATCGCGGAGCCGAGAGAGCGGTCGGGAAATGATTCCCCGCGCGACCCCGATCTCCAAGCGTAATAATATTCGGGACCATCGAAGAATCACAGGTACTCCGAGCCTAATGCATACGCAACTCATTGTGTGTCATTTGTCCTTCTTGACCCCACAAACAACAAACTCACTGTACCATGAAAGGCAGCGGCGGACCCGTCTGGAGCCACCTACAAACCAATAAAGGTGGTACTGATGGAACTAACGACGGAAATTAAACAGCCTTATTATGGCTTATATTGTCGTCGAGGGGGTTGAATCTTTGAATCTCGCTACCGGAAGCTGTTGGGGCCACTTACAACAAAGGAGGATTGCATCCTGGCCGCACGGACAACCGGAGACAATATCAAAGAATGGATTGATCAGAAATACGAAATTCAGTGTAGCCAGCACTGCAGCTGAACATACTTAGGCATAATTAGTTATCCGAAGACGCGTCCTAAGTTCTTCTTCTCCGAATCTTTAACACGACGACGAAGGCACTAGGCTTTTAGCATTTCCTGGGTGTTTCTCTTTATAGGACTACGACGTAAAGGGCAATATTTAGAAAAATACTATTACTGAATAATTTACACTTCTTCCTAGAAAGACTAGTTTAATTTGCTGACCCTTCGTGGGTTGACAGGTGGAAGTACCCAGCTCCCACGCCTAGAATCGAGAAGCTTCACCTAAAGTACAGTGTCGCACTGTGTCGCACTGTAGAGGCAACATCATGCCCCTCCATCCCACTTGCGACCCCACGTCAAGATTTTGCGACTGTCACGATTCTGGCTTCCAAACTCAAAGCACTCTACTCACCACAATACAATATACTTACAACCATGGATCCCATTCAGAGCATGTCCACATCCGGGGGGCAGCTCCCCGCGGGCATGAGCGCCGAGGAGACCACCAACTTGGAAGATGTACGGGTTGCCCCCCAAAAAGCTTTCCTGTGAGGGGCATGATGTCACTGCGGCCGCGCGCGACAAGCCATTGCCTCTCCGTCGCGCGAGATCAGAAAACCCTGGAATTTAGCTAACTAGGAGAAACAGATGGAGAAGCAATTCGCCGTCAAGACGGTGCAGCACCTCGAAACATACTGGGCCATCCTGGAGCGCGTGCGCGGCTCGACGTTGCGCCTGACCAAGCTGGACGACGACATCTACGAGCACTTGAAGACCGACTTTCCCGAGTTTGACCCCGCAGCCGTCATCGACGAGGACGAAATGAAGAGCAAGACGGGCAAGGAGCGCTGGCGCAAGTTCATGATGGCGTATGAGAAGAAGGTGGAGGACTACAACTTTGGCACGATGCTGCGCAACAGCCCCAAGGTCGAGTATGAGCAGGACACGACCCTTTTCGGTAAGTAGGGCCAATGGAGGAGCTTGAGAACGCGTTCGCTGGAATGTAGTTGCTAATTGGTCATGTACAGTCCCGCGCATGCAATTCTACGCTGTCGAGATTGCCCGCAACAAGAGCGGCCTCAACGATTGGATCTTCGAAAAGGCCGAAGCCGAAAAGGCCAAGGGCAAATAAAGGAACCGCGCCAAGGAGATGATTGTATATAGGGACGATGCATAGACGAAGGCTGGAATTGGATGTTTTCGAAAATGTAGAGAATTTTATTTCTTTCTCAATAAAATAGGTGAAGTCCTGAATGATTGCGGGTGTCTAGTGTATTGTGTATTTACCTATCGCACAACTAACAGGCAAGCCTCGACTCCACGAGTAGCTGAATCAAACTATACATTGCACTTACTATAGAGTTTCTCCGCAATAAATCCAGCTTTGCTGCGTTGTTTGCCTGCCCGTCGCCAGGTCAAGCGTAACCATCGGGAGGCTCCCGAAACGCTGCAATAACTAGACTCGGTAACGCACACTCCCGGGTTGGGCTCTAGATATTTCTCAGAGAAGACACTCCCTCCAACACCTGGACGCCAAGCTAGAGGCTCACAAAAGAAACACAGGTGCATTCCTCTCTCCGCAGGCAATAGGGTAGGTAGGCTTTATATGGCTTTACATACAATCGCCCGTGTTAGCGCTGTCCACTCCAGTTTTACCCGCTCGGGCGGGCTACGGCGCCGCAAAGCCTCAGAGCGGCTCCATGACGTTTGTCGATGACGGAAACGTCATCTAATCCAACCCGTGTTTCAAGCCGGCACAGCTCATCTTTGCCTCCTTCCCGCGTGATTTGCAATCCATCCTCTCTTCCCTTCCCTCGGCTCCGGCGGACATACTCTACAACACAACAAAACAAACACCCGGCAAATCATGGCGGCGGACAAGTACATTCTCCGCATCACCGCCGGCAGCGACTACGACCCCTCCACGCACGTCCAAGTCCCCGTGAACCAGCCCTCACCAGTAGCCATCAGCGGCCCGCACGCCGCGATCCAGCTCAACGTGCGGGTGCACAACTACGCGGGGCTGCCGCCCAACTCGCCGGCAACATCGCCATACTTTGCCGCGGAGCCGCACGCGACCAACCAGGACCAGTACAGCATCGCCTTCCGCTTCACGCCGACGACGCGACGACAGGCCCCCGGCGCCGCCGCAGGCATCAACGGCACGGACCTGCAGTTCGGCAACGACTTTGACCGGCCCATCCGCGACAGGCTGCCGCCCGGCTTCAACACGGCGCTGCGCATCGTCAAGTGGTGGATCGACCCGGGGCTCGACGGCGACGCCTACGCCGACCGCCCGCACCTGTACGGCCCCGCGCTGAGCTCCTTCAACGTGCTCGAGATGGGCGAGGGCGCGCACGATCCCGCCCGCGGCGGCCTCTGGTTCGACGAGGGCGCTGGTCCCGACGACGAGGCCAGGAAAAGGCTCAAGATGCCCGCCACGGGCAAGGCGCGCATGAAGTGGGCGCTGGCGGACGCGAACAAGGAGCAGTTCTTGTTCGAGTACGGCAAGACGTACGGTTTCGACTTTTTTAACCCCTACCTGGACTTTGCCAATCTGGCGCTGCGCCTGCCTGGCTTTCAGCTGAGCATTGCCAACTACTGGGACGGCCAGGCACTGCGGTGAGTTTTACCCTCTTCCCTTAGGCCTCGTACGATTTTGAAGTTTTTTTTCTCGTCTTCTCTATGTTTGCTCTTTCCCCTCGCATGGGTTAACCCATTTGCTTTTTTTTCCCAGGTCATCCAACAACAGGCGCTTACACCAGCTTAGGTACGTGCTGCGGAACAGGACCACGGGGGACGTTTACCTCGTCGTCGTGTTTAGCCTGTTTCTGCGCAAAGATCTCAACGAGGACGGCACGCTCAAAGAGGGCGCGCAGCAGCTCACCGCGGGCGGTGCGGCGGACGCGACGGCCACGAAGCCGGCGGGTGGCGAGGAGCACAGCCACGATCACGACGAGGAGGCGGCCATGAAGCAGGCGCAGGATAAATTTGGCGTCCCGCCTTATGAGACGAGTGCGGATGATGTAGACTGATGAGTTATAGAGACTGATGTACACAATAAATAGAATATAGAATACATGGTTGTTTTCGGGCCGTCAGCGCCTGAGCGAGGTTACACCCACGGGATCTATCAGACTGTATCATTCAGGAGGCGTTACAGAACGTGCACTTCGCTAGTTACACCAAAGTACTCAAGATGCCACAAATCGCAGTGAAAATACCCTCGCCTGAGCAAACTTTGCGTGGTGTTGGCAAACAAGACTAAAAATGCCAACTGAGCAGAGGCAGAGTGATTCACGAAAGACTTACTTTACACCTACTCTGTCTAGACCAGCATCTGACTAAACCAGAATCAATATCAATATCCCGCGAGTATGGCATCGACAACAAAGATACCAAATACAGCCCACGCAGTGCCCATGACTACGCAGCCCTTGGTTTGCCCCGCGCCGGTGTTGACGGCCGATTTTGACGGCTGTAGGGTCCCCGGCGGATTGGAGCTGTGGCAGAATTGGGGATATTACTCGCCGGGTATCTGCTTCATTGGCTATGTAGCACTATGCACTCAGACAGCAGCACCGCCTGGTGGATGGTCAATCAGCAAGGACGAAACTGCGGTGCGGTGTGTACCAGTGTAAGCAACACGCCGCTTGCCGAAGCGTGGCTGCAACTAATTCTGCATACAGTGGTTACGAATGCAACGACGAGACGTCCGATCAAAGATATGCCACCTCGCTATACAATGACATGACGCTCTCTGCCCCGGCATTCGAAATCAGGTGGCGCAGCGCGGATGTCAACGGTCAGTTCACCCGGCCACCCACAACCTCGTCAAGTGCACCGGAACCGACAGTGTCAAGATCTACAGGACAGACCGTGAGCAACAGCTCAGCCGCATCACCCGTCCCCTCGGCAACGGCGCAGAAGGGGCCGACGAACATGTCGTCAGGGAAGATTGCCGGAATTACTATTGGTGCTGTGATCGCCATCTGTGCCATGCTGGCGGCTGCATTTCGAATGCACTTTCGGCGAAAGAAGGTTTTTGGAAAGGCACAGCCGAAAACGCAAGGCGTCCGAGGGCGTGGCGAGGCTGCAGAACTCGAGTTTGTTGCTCCTCTTGCCGAGCTGCAGAGTGAAGGACCGGTCAAAGAGCTGGACAGCAACCGACCGAAGCAGTACGACGACTACGCTGCGGTCAACAAGGAGCCGGTGGAATTGCCTGGTGATACGACGCTTCGGACACTGCCATGACTGGCTAGACAGAGATAGAATTTGTGGCTGCGGATGTCTGTACTGTCTGTGAAAGTCAGAAATTCGGTGCATCATGCAAAGACGGGGCGGCGTTCCAAGCCCGAGACTTATTCCCGAAGCATAGGTGGTATCCCATGTGCCTTGTCCATCCTGAAAGTTTGCGCCGCTGACTGCGAATGAGGTGCCGGGCTCAGTGGCTCAGCCAAAGTGCGCGAAGCTATCAGTAGTTTGTTTCAGCTATGGCTTCTGCAAGTAGTCAAACGTGGACTGTGATTCGACGGTCATCTGCATGAGACCATAATGGTGTGCTGGGGCGCCAGCAGGACATCCCGGCCTGGTGGAATCCTTGGCATGGGCACAAGCGGGAATAACGGCGGCTGAAGTGGAACGCGGCACTTGAGGAAGGTAAATGTCGCAGTAAGCATCGCTAGGTCAAAGATGTGCTTGCTTACTTTCGTGGTCCGCTGGGGGATATTCTCGTCGTTTACTGGGCGAGGACTCGTCAGATCGGTCGATCCTTGCTTTTCCTCTGCGTCTTGGCAAACGAGTGTTGTAACCAGAAATGATGCTGCGAAGAGGGGGGGGGAAAGCCTCTTGTTATTCCCGAGGGCTAGACCGCTCAGCTCTGAAGCTAAGACGATGCAATATCTCGCTAGCTTTGACTTGCTTCATTTTGGCGTGATTTTTTTTGGGAGGGCGGGGCTGCTGCACACGAACACGACTCCATTTGCTTATCATCGTTGGTCCTCTCATTCAGGCGTGTGTGTGGCCCAGAACGGGTCTCATTTTGAGAGCGCGCAACGAGCATGATTCAGGCTTCGATCGGCGGGCAGTGATGCAGTGATGAGCATCACGGGCAACCCACCCAGCGACGAGACCGTCATCGGCGTCGGATAAAGGGCTGAGACAAGCAGTAACGCTGAGACCGTTGAGCGGTTGATCGGAGAGCTGGGGTTGGCCGGTTCGTATCTGGGCGGCAGCAATCTATTTCACAAGATGGAGAATTGAGGAACGAGCGAGCAAATGGGGCGGCGAGAGATGGGAAAGATGGGAAAGCGAGCCGTTTGCCAGGGGGGGATGTTTGAAAAGCTTGGGTCCACCAGCCAGCTGGCAACTTCCTGCATTTGGTTCAGGATGCAGCTCCGGACACAACTTGGTCGTTATTCCCGACAAGCTTTTCGTCACCCTGGGGTTTAAGTGGGCTTCGTTGGGGCTTCTTCGTCATCTGCTTGGCTGCTTGGTTCCTGTCCAGCCCCGAAAACCCCCTGCTAGTGCACAGGGAACAAGAATTATTGTATCCATTCCGGTTTATTATGATGATATACCATGTCCCCGGCGCCCGCGCTGTAAAGTGAGGGGGGAGCCCGGGCGGGTTTACCCTCGGCCACCCCAACTTCTTACACCATAACTATGAGCCCTGCCGCGCACACCTATGAGATGACCGTTTCACCTTTTTTTCAAATCTGAGTCGTTGAAAGCTTAGCTGCTAAGCGGGCTGCCTTGCTGTTTTGGATTGAAAAGGTAGCTCAACGACAACAACCATGGCTCGTCAACATACTACACCGGCGGTTGACGTGCACCCGCTGCGCCACACCACCGACGCTGCTGTCAACCCCATCGTGGACCAACCCCAAGAGAAGCTGGCACGGGAAACTGCAGAGAAATCAGCACGGGCAGATCCCGAGACAACTTCCTCCGCCACCGCCATCCTCTACCTCTACCTCGACTTTGACACGCCTCTGCCCGAGCCGCCGCAACGCGCCGGGCCTGGGGTGCCGCCATGCCCCGACCTGCGCGCCTACACATCGCCACTCCTATGGAGCCCCGCGCGCAAGAGCGTGCTGCTCATCCTCTCCTGCCTGGCCACTTTTCTCACCGCGTACACGGCGGGCGCCTACGCGCCCCCGGCCAGCCTCATGGCGCGCGACTTCCGCACCACCCGCACCGCCGTCATGGCCGGCATCACCACCTTTTGCCTCGGCTTCGGGCTCGCGCCCATGGCCCTCGCGCCCCTGTCCGAGGCCTGGGGCCGGTACCCCATCATTGTCACTGCCGGCGGCGTCTACCTCGTCTTCCAGGCGCTCTGCGCCGTCATGCCGCACGTCGCCGGCATGCTCGTCTGCCGCCTGTTTGTCGGCGCCGGCGCGTCCGTGTTCAGCGCCGTCGTCGGTGGCGTCATCGCGGACCTCTGGGGAAAAGAGGACCGCAATACGCCCATGGCGCTGTTTAGCGGCTCCGTGCTGCTCGGCACCGGGGCCGGGCCGCTCGTGTCGGCGGCGCTGGTGAGCATCATCAAGGACCGCACGAGGGCGTGGCAGTGGACGTTTTGGCACCAGGTGATCATGGACGCGGTCCTCATGGGCTTCCTGGTCGTCTTTTTCAACGAGAGCCGCGCGTCGGTGTTGCTCACTCGCAAGGCCAAGATATTGAATGACTGGTACGAAAAGTTGGAACGGGCCGGCGTCTACGGCGTCTGGATCTCCTTGGAAACTGTCAGCGTGGTGTCCTCGTCCGAAGTGCGGCTGTCTCGACGCCGCGGTTCAGAGTCGGACGGCTCGGTCTGTGATGGGGAGACGCGCACACAGTCCCCAGAGCTCCGTCGCGTTCGCTGGGTCGTCAAGGCTGACGAGCTGCGGCCTACCCTCAAAGAGCTGGTCACGACCTCCATCCGACGGCCTTTTGCGCTCCTATTCACAGAGCCGGTCGTTTTCTGCTTTTCTTTGTGGGCGGCGTTTTCCTGGGGCGTCCTGTACCTGTCCTTTTCCGTCGTGCCGTTCCTTTACAACGGAGACCTGGACAAGTCCAGTCGCGTGTACATTGCCATGATGGCCGCGACCGCCGTTGCCACGCTCACCGGCGTGTTCCAGGAGCAGCTCCTGAAACACCCATCCTGGAGGAGCCTCGAGGCCGGCGGCCGTCCCACCGCCTCTCCGTTCTGGCAGATGATGCGCCGCCGGTTTCCCGCCGAGGCTCCCGAGTCGCGACTCTACTTTGCCTGCGTCACGGCCTTGTTCCTACCCGCCGGCCTGTTTGTCGGCTTCCTCTGCCCAGACAGCTGGAAGGCCTACGCGCAGGCCATTGGTCTCGGCTTCGCCCTCTGGGGCATCTACTCCGTCTACCTCGCCACCTTCAACTACCTCGCCGACACCTACCACGCTTACGCCTCATCGGCGCTCGCGGCGCAGAGCCTTTGTCGAAACCTGCTCGGCGGCGTGTTCCCACTCATTGCCACGCCTCTGTTTCGCAATCTGGGCACGCGCGCGGCGGGTGGCCTACTTGGCGGCATTGGTACTGCGTTGACTGTCATTCCATGGGTGCTCGTCTTCTTTGGACAGCGAATCCGCGCACGGAGTAAAATCGCGATAGTAAGTACAGTCGGTCCTGCATTTGAGGTGATTTGCTAATAAAAAAATCAGTCTCTTGAAAAGTCATAGCGTATTTAACATAAGCATAACGGCCAGGAACGTTAGCATTAGAGAGTACTGCATAGCATACTGTTTCGGCAAATCATGTAATCCCTGATAGAACTATAATTTATCGCACTTTTTCTATTAATATTCAATTCATTTCTCCTTATCAAATTTCCTTTAGCTAAACTCACGTGCGTCTTTTTCTGTTGCCTCGGTTGTTGAGGCACATGTCAATTCATATCCATCGCTATGGACCCCTTTGCAACGCTCAGCGTGCGTCACCACAACCATTACGCAGTTACAAATCCTCGACTCAACAGATTCTTAAACTGATGGGAATTCTCCCCCACCAAGCGCTGCAAGACTTTTTACAATGGATTAACCAAATGCCCTTCCGCCGCGCAACCTCAGACGAGTGAAACCACATTTACGCGATTTCGCTTCCGCAAACCAACCCCTTTCCCACACCACCAACCACACATGTCATGATTGGCAACTCGCCGCCCAAATGGGCGCTCATCCAGCTCTCCGTGGTCATCTTTCGCTTTGCACCTCTGCTGCTCGCCCTCTTCTTCCTCGCCCTCGGCGCTCACAGCGCGCCGCACCACACCGCCCAAGCCGTCCTCGGCAGCCTCCTCGTCGCCGAGGCCCTCTTCTACGTGCTCCTCTACCGACCGCACCTGCG